CCTTGGTAAGTTCTCTCTTTTTTTTTTTTCGAGTCTCCAAGTTGTTCCTCAACCTTGTTCATGATATGCTCGTCGAAAAAGAAAAAGTAAATAAACAGGAAAAATTTAAAACTGCAAAATCATCGTGACAAGAAACGCAATATATCATCAGACCACATGCAAAGTACTTTAGATGGGGGTTTCCCTGTTAAATATCTTAATGGCATATAGAGTCAAAAATGAGTACGGTGTATCGGTCTCACTGAGCCTTTTTGGCTTGAAAACGAGTATACATTTTGACTGCGATGGTCTTAAAAGGGTGATGGCTTTGAAAGGAACCACGACAACAAATGATGACATATATTGTCCTTTCAAATTGAAATGAGCAGAGACAGAAAAGAAGCTTAAATGCGTCATTCGAGCTAAATCTTTTAGTAAATTCCACCGAATCTTGACTTCCGGTCATAAATGTATATGCTGTCAAGAGAGAATATTTTTTATGTTGCATATTGGGCATGAAAATTTGGGTTCTACTTCGAACTGAAAGTTCTGCGAAAAATTTAACAAGTAGGTTGGAGACTGTTTACATGGAGGCGGGAGACCTCAGGTGGTTGAAGTAACCGGTCTAGTCGTGGTCGTTAAATAACGCGCGTTAGCATACAATCATACAACCCCGGGATCCCGGGGTAGCGTTTCTGGAGGTTGTTGGCGCGCTTGCTATTATAACATGAGCGCGACCCCAGCTATAGGCGGGTTATTCCAGTCAAGGTATTTACGCGTGCAAATTGTGATCCCGGCTGATAGCGTTACACTAACCAACAGGCTTGGTAACGCACGTAGGTGAGTTACACCACCCATCATGTAAACTTAATCAGGATGCTAAGAGAAATTATATGGACAGTGGGTTACCTCCGGTATCTATCTGGGGTCTCCCGCCTTCTTGTAAACAGACCCTTAGTGTGTTCCTCTCCCTCTATAGGTAAATTTTCCTCAGCGATTCCCTGAGAGCGGAAACCGCATGAGACCTGAACACATAAATGGCAGTAGATAAGAACAAGATGTTATATTCATTTTGATTAGACTTAACAGTGAGTAGCCCTCAGCTAAGATGTGCCAAACCCTAACGTTCAGTTGGTCTCAAGGGATTGATCGAGGACTTCGAAGAAGTAGGCTTTTTAGAGGAGAAGAAATGATATGAAGAAAGCATAATGAAGAGGTCAAACGTTAACAAGCTTCTTTCAGTATCTATGTTTGACCGAGGAAATTTCCATGATTTAACAGCATTGCGGTTTGGTCTCATGTTTTCTCAAAGTCGTCACTTGCTCGCTGTAATCCATCTTACACTATAACCGTGAGAACCTGCCATTTATCATACATACAGAGAAAGTATACCTTAGGAGGTTGAAGTACGACTGTCTAAACTCCATAGCTGGATGAACATACAATATCGTTTTCCTTACAGACGGCCATTGTTTTGTTTCGCGTTGTCACGCCGGAAACCAGACAACTGCTAATGTAAGGCAATTTGGGAGACAACCCCTTCACAAGCAATACAGAAATAAACCAGATTTGCATTTTTAAGCCCACTCTTTCTTTTTAGAATAAATATACAGTCTGTACTTGGTGAAGCAGCTGAGATAGGCTGGAGAAAAGCCCTTTGCACAGCTGTCACCTTGCGAGTGTCATTTTTAGAGATAAGTCATCGATGTCGTTTTAATAACTTTATTATTTTTCACGCTGTCAAAAAATTTTTCAACCCTTTTAATATTTAACAGGTTATTTTTTGGAGTTTACAGTAATTTACCTGAAGAAAAGAATATAAATCTGATATTATTTTTCCCGGTATATACATACTTGGTTCCTTCAGCTGGCATGATTTGAGACAAAACGTCCAATTCTATTTTGTCGAACGATGAAGTGTCTCAAAATAGAAAACGCGAACCGTCAAAATAGCGAGAAGTGTTCATTTGCGTGAAAAGCGAAATACTTCTGGAAGTAAAAGTGCTATACAGGGAAAACAGCTTCTTCATATTTATTCCACCTTATTTTTCTTCGCTTTAAGCTTTCCTTTATGGGCTGCTGAAACTGAAGTGGTAATCAGCAAGCGATATGCCCATAGTGAAAATAATGCAAAATTATCCTTAGAAATAAAGAACAACTTGTGAGGTCTAGAGAGTCGAGCTTGACTGAACTTGAACTGAAGATGAAGAAAGCCGGATAACTCATGTTCATTTTTGGCAGAATTTGATGAAAAGTCGCTTCCTCTGATCTCAAGATAGCTTGACTTGTTTTGAACAGGAATTATCATATTGATTTTGCCTAAATTGGACCTAGCGATGTTTGTAAGCAGTTCAAAAGCTCCTTGGTAAATACGTTAAATAAATGATCGGCAAGCTTTCTTTCTCTAAGCATAATTTTATGAAATGTGTTGGCCAGACGGTCGTAGAAAGGGGCTGCTTTAAAAACTTGCCTGCATTCGAATGAACGCTCAATGATCGTTTGACTACGAATGCTACTTCTTTTTAGTCTGCCATCATCTCGATTAGATTCATTCGCTTACCAAACGCAGGCGCCAAAGATCTTTCAATGAACCTCTCAGAATTACCAAATTATTTAATTTTCGACGGCGATTGCATCTGTGTGCGGCACCAGCGCATCCTAAATGCGTTCTCTTGGAACGAATTCAGCATTGAAAGAATTCTTCCTGACAACCGAGTTTCCTGCCGGGAATCCATTCGCAATGAAATACAAATGCAACCTAGACCTAGCCATGAAAAAAATCTTTCAGTGTGCTTACCTTTGCGACTGATCTTATCCTTCAGTGAAGAGGATTTTCATTCCAAATTATGGTCAGGGCGCGAAGATCATTCGTTCTACGCAGTTGCCTCATTCAAATGACGTCCAATGTTTCTCAGCAGACAACAAAGTATTTCAATGAATATTAGAGAATCCCTGGTAGGGTAAAACATAAAGGCTTAGAGTAACGGGGGGGAGTGGGGAAGGTTCATTAGAAACCGAGCCTCGTGCATCAGTCCCCCTTCTCAAATTTTCTAAGATATCCTTTACATAGGTCAAAGCATTAACATTATTTTATTTTTACAGTTACAGGACCACCTTTATCTCTCAAAAAATTAAGTTAAGTCACAAGTTACTTACTGATCATATTCCACAAAAAAGAACTCCCCAGGAATCATACTCTTGATAGATGCTCATTGAGTTTCAATCATAGTTTCAAAAGGGTGGTATTTGCCCTCGCATGTGTACAGTCTAGGGTTTCTATACGACAGCGGGCTGTAATTTTTGATAGGAAGTGTTATGCTCCAGTCAATTGAAACCCCGGCTCCCCGACCCCGGGACATAGCGGGGGAGTAACGGGGGTATGGCCGTGGAAAAACGCTATTGTAACAAAGCGTTTTCCCGAAAGGACAAGGCCAGTAAACGCTTTTGCCGATTTGCCGGGAATTTGGAGCGGGGCTTGTAACGCCAGGCCCGACAGAGAGGGAATGGGCCGAAATAACAAAAATCACGCTCCTAAATGGAGGACCCTAGTTTTGTTTGAAGTTAATGTAGGAATGTGCCGCATTTGATTTATTTTTCTTGCTAAAGATTCAGAGGGTCAGATTTGTTAATAAAAATCGAGTAGCTAGTTTTAACCATTTATCATTCATCAATCTAGTAAATGAGCAGAACTTAATATGAACCTTTAGTGAACCGAAATGCAACATGTTTAATTGTGCCAGACGTAAGAAAGCCAAGCACAAGCATTCATGTTGCAGACCGCACCTTCGTTTGACAGTAATACTCACTTGTCACTATGGGCATGAGCAGTTTAAATTCTAGGTTTCTCCAGTAATGGACGCACATACTTATATATTAAATTTATGTGGTCATTTCCTTATGCATCTAAAAGATTGGTCAACTATTATGGAAATCCAGAGTCTCCAAAATATTATACATACCGGGGCTATGATAGTCTCCCTCGCAGCCGTTTTTTTGGATGTCACGGAGCGTTGCGTGACATCCAAAAAAACGGCTGCGAGGGAGACTAGGGCCATGAGGGCAGCGATTGTACCAACATACTTTCCCGATGGGCGGGGTGACACTGTCAAATTGTTACATTCCCCGCTATGTCCCGGGGGTCGGGGGGCCGTGGTTTCAATTGACTGTAGCATTATATGACTGACTTGATTCAGGAGGTTAGTCCTTATGTAAATTATAAACAATTATTGGATGAGGTTTTTGTGATATCCGGAATAATCAAGGTCGAGGAAAGTGTTATCAGCCGAAGCCGAAGGCTGAGGCTGATAACACTAACCGAGTCCTTTATAATTCCGAATATCACAAAAACCTCATCCAATAGTTGTTTTATTATGCATTGTTGTAAGGATGAAGCGAATCGAGAAGCCATTGTTACTTCGCTGTCCGTGAACTTGACATTGCTCCACCGGAAATCATGCATTGCTCGCGCAACCTACAGATTATTCACTAATCTGTAGATACAGATTAGTGAATAATCTGTAGATTGCACCGTTCCCCAGAATTAACTGTGGGCGTTTAGCCAATGAGAAGACAGATGGTGACTACAATGTATCTTAATCTTACTAACCAAACTACAACTCATAAGTACTGCATTTATTTTCCATTTTTAACCTCAGAATCAATATAAAGTAATGCATGGGCATAATTACGTATTTGTGCACGATCTTCGCAGTAAAGAGCACTATTTAAGCAATAGTGTAAATCTGAACTTAAAAATTGAGGCCTGTACCGGATTCGAACCACTGACCTCTGCGATAGTYGTGCAGCGCTTTTCCAATTGAGCTAACAAGCCAACTGCGAGCAGGTCTTCAAATTAATTCGACATAAACCCGTGAGATGATAAATCAAACACAATGAATATATGAAATTCATAAATCTGAACTGCGGTTACAGAAACGTATTTGTGCACGATCTTTGCAGTAAAGAGCACTATTTAAACAATAGTGAAAATCAGACCTGAAAAAATTCAGGCCTCTACTAATTGAGCTAACAGGCCAACTGGGAGCACGTCATCAAATTAATTCGACATAAACCTGTGAGATGATAAATCAAACACAGGGCATATTATTCGTCTTAACGATATTTTGCCCACTCAATACTATTAAATTTTACAACAATTTTCCTATTTATTTAGCACAAGTTCTTTCTTATGTTATATCTGATAAAATGAATAAAAGGACATAACAATACGGGCTAGCCATGCGAGATTTACAAGGTTAGTCCATAATGATTGTTTTATAGTGAAGGTGTGATCTTCACTGTATTAAAAATAATCACATCTGCTTCTCTCATTTTACTAGATAAAAATAAAAGATTTTTGGTATATTTGGCTAACTTCAAAAAAAATGAGGAAAGTTCCCACTCACAAGTAACAAACGTGATTGCCTGTTGAAGTGACAGGAAGTTCTAAGACGAACCAGAATCTTGTTTCACGGGCATGTCTCGAGTAATTCACTTCTCTAATACTCCTTAAACAACAATAAGCTTCACTTCTTAAAAGTTTTTCTCCGATGCAGAACTTGGGGTACTGTTACCCTTGGAGAAAAATGTCATCCCCGGAAGCCGGGCAATGTGATCTGAAAAAAAAAATATATATATATATCTATATAAACTATTACATGTTGAAAACAGGATCTTAAGAAAGATGTTTTTCGCATGGTGACAGGTGTGGCACAAAGAAAAACGGAAATTATATTAATAATGACTGCCAGGTGACTTTTACATCTTTTCAAAATAAGCAAAGAGCATTCACAGGCTGCTTAAAGTTGCAAAAAAAAATCGTTCAGATTATGAGCCCTTCCCCATCAAGGTATTTAATCAGATGGCACACTGACAGTATCTATTAAGCAACCACTGACAGAGAAAATGGTCATAAGATATTTCAAAATTGAATTTGGAGGCCCTTCACTATATCAATTTCCCCGTGGCACTCTAGTAGTGTAATGCAGAAGCAAAATTATAGAGTGATAGTTAGACGTTTGGAGCGGAGGTGACCTCAAAAGGGCATCTTTCAAAATGCTGTAACAGGCATGAAACCTGCATGATGAAATAGTAGCCCTTCACAGAGGAAGGCCCAACCTTTCTGAGTGCTAAATCAAGCTTAACAATGTGTGACTGTAGATTGGACATTTACATGTACGAGTTGCGTATGAGTCTGACAATACACTCCTGGTGACCTTTCTGGAAGCATGGCAAAATTTGACAAACACTATGTGCCTCCTGCAAATACACATAGGCACAAATGAAAAGAAATTTGGTCTCGCTTAAGCCTCGAGGTATACTTGTTTGGTTCTAGTAAAAAAAAAAATACTAGTTAAAAAACGAATCACTGCTGTCCTAGTGAATCTCAGTTTTCACCATAAAGGGAGCAAAGCATTCCTGAATAATTCTTGGATTCCACTTCAATTAGTTTACCCCATCACTCCAATAAGTTATTTCTTCTAACAATTTCTGTACATCTTTAAGCAGTTAAATGGAGATAGGAAAAAATATAAACAGATGGATTTTGTTTGATCTAACATCACTACGCCATCCCGTCTTCCACCAACTGTTTCATAACTGATTATTTTTTTCAGTTTCTTGTGCTTCTTTTGGCATCGAAAAGGAAGAAAGACCAAAAGTACAGGAGAGCAATAAAGACTGAATAATCTGATAATTTTGCAGCTGATTAACACTAACAGATACTGATACTTAAAAGAAATTGTATTAATTGAGATTGCATCTCTTGGTGACCTTGGTCATGCTATCAAAGAAAAACGACAATTCCAATAACAATTGGAAACAAACATCGCTCGGACGAAGGGCTAACGCTCGAAATGTGAGTTTTTGTAATCATTACGGTGGCCAATTTACCATTTCAACTTTGTTGATATATCCAAATTATTTCGTTACTCCCACCGACGCAGCCCCAAAGAGTTTCTTTCGAAACTATCAACAAACATCGCTCCGACGAAGGGCTAACGCTCGAAATGTCAGTTTTTGTAATCATTACGGTGGCCAATTTACCATTTCAACTTTGTTGATATATCCAAATTATTTCGTTACTCCCACCGACGCAGCCCCAAACAGTTTCTTTCGAAACTATCAACCTTTATTCATCTCTCAGACAAGCTTTCAGTTTTTCTCTCGAGCATTTGACAACTCATTCAAAAACCAAAAAGCTTTGTCTTACATTGGACTCTGTGCGAGGGTTAATCTTAATTTCTATTCTGTCACATTGAAAGCATCAGTTCTAGGCACGTCCACCACAAGAAAATAACCCTAGCACTCCAGGAAGTTATTTCTACTTGCAATATCTGTATTGTTTAAAAAAAAAAAAAAACATGGTCAAAATATCTGTACTCGTTGGATGACCTATCTGTCGTGTTGTACACTAATTGCCGTCGTTGTGTTAGAGTTCTGATAGTTGTTTCTTTGAGTGATGTTGGGTTGAAGAATGACTCGTCTAATAGTCTGCGTATAAGATGGAAGTATGCTGGAGCTAATTGAATTGTAATACACTTACAAGTTGACCCAAATCAGCTTGATAATAAACAGGTTCGCATTACAAAATTTGACAAAAACTCCTGTAGTGCATCCTGCAAATAAGCATAGGTACAAATTAAAAAGAGTTTGTCTCTCAACTGATTTAAAACTGATTACTCCTTCCAGTTTCTTGTGCTTCTTTAAGTACCAAAGAGGAAGAAAAACCAAAAGCATAGAAGATACTTATCCTGTTGATGAACACTTACCAATACTGATACTTGAAACAACTTGTACCAATTGTGCTTGCATCTTGATAACGCTAACAAAGAAAAACGACAATCAATAAAATAACTGAAAACAAACATACCCCTATCTCGAGACAATTCATTTAAAACAAGTATTCAGACTTCAAAAAATAGTTTTCTCCCAAGCATTAAACTATTTATTTTTCATAAACCGCTTTGTCTAACAGGTGGCTTGACGATAATTCTTTGTGAAAGGTCAACTTAATCACATCAATGAATGTTTTATCAAAAGTATTCCTTAATCATGGGATCAAATGTAGATCACAATGACTACACAAAAATCCCTTGTTTTAATCGACAATAATTATTTTTGACGTTGCTTCACACCACGCAAAAGGGATTAACCCCATGAGAAAACAAAGAAAAACTAAAACGAAGACAAAATCAAAACAAATAAAAAAACAACACAAAAAAAGTAATTTTTTTCATGCTGTTCTTCAGTGGTATTGTGAAATAACACAACCGTTTCCATGGATCGGCAAAAGTTTGAAAACTTAATCTTAGTTTTTACAGTAGCTTAAGACCTCCCTGGAGACATAAATTTTCATCAAAACAAAAACAGAATGGATATGAGCTAACCTCACACAACTTAAGCGATCCCTTTCCACTTTGACACTCATTCTAGAAACTTCAAGAACCATTAACACCTAGAGAGTTATAAGAAATGTTTATTGTTATAATCAACACATCATAGTACAAGCCCTCTTTCGCATCATTTGTTTAACCTTATCAAGTTTAGGACATATTCCGGAAATATTTCTGGTGTTCGTGGGATTTCTGAGCTTCACAGCCACAGTATCAAGCACTTTTGAACATGGTTACGACCTGACCGAAACAACCTGTCTATCAATAACTACCTCTTCATAACCAAAGAAATCAGTTGCTTACCTCTTTACCAGTAAATTTGTGACATAATCTGTGGGTTCCCTGCTATAATCCTCATCCATGTTACTCTCCTATATCCCTTTAACAATCCCTGAAAGCTGTTGGTTGCGAGAGCTGTTGATTGTGCATCAAGAAGCTCATAGAATTCACAGAATTCTAGAAGGAAAAACAATTATTTTCATCTAAAACAGACCTCCAGAGGTTTTATATTTTTGTAACTACTAGAGGAAAACAAATCAAATTATGCTTAGATATTAAGGAACATTTCAACTACTTCTTCACTTTGCTGCACATCTTTGCGATTGCAAACTGATAGAGTGGTGTTGAAGAATGGAAGCTAAAGACCTTCATGGCAGACACCTTACTTTACGAGAACTCTTACCTCCCAAATATGTATGGGTCTTCCAAATGCCCCTGGACACTGGTACCACCATCTGGCTTTCTCCAGCTCCCTTCCTCTCTTTGCTAATTCTGCTGTTATTTCAATTTTCCAACGCAACAGCTCTCTATCTCCTCTCTTCCTGCTACTCAATTTCAAGCACGTGAATCAGTCAGGCAACTTCAATGACTTTCTGTCATAGTGTTTGCTCATCTCAGAACTAGCCTATCTTGGCTATAATCTTAGAAAGATTTCTTCTTGCATTTGTGTCAGGTTTGGCAGATCTTTGATATTCTGTAGCCTTGGGCAAATTGGAGCTCAATCCTGAACCAAAGATAGAAGAGGCCCACCTCGTGGTACTTGAGGTTCTCTTGTACTACGTGCAAAGTCTTTTATCAAGAAATTTGGACTTAATATGTTGTAGTCACTGTCTGAGCTAGCAGTAGCTCCAAAATAACTGGATGACGGTCCAAGTAAATTTCCAGAATTAACATTGAAGGAATGATTCTAGGGGTCTTTTTTCCCTACGTTTCATAACGATACTAATGTTCCGCTGAACACTTTAAGTCATTCAAATCGAACATGCCAATTAGTTACTAATTATCACACAGTTTATCTTAAATATTAAAATAATGAAAGTATGATAAATAACAAAAACATATTCATGTTACAGCAGCTGAAAACAACTTTGTTTCTTTCCCACCAAAATGGTTTGATCTTTCTTCCCTCATAACTATCCAGATAAATACCTGAACAAATAATGATAGTTCTTCAAGTATTCAAAGTTTACCACAATTATACCGACACAACTATCAGTCTCCTTTGATTTTTATTGGAGGGCTGTCAAGTTGTTTGGAAGTAGATGGTTATTAAAAATAGCGGCAGTTAGTTTATTGTGGATGTTGCTTTGTCAGGCCACATGGAAACAAGAAACTAACCACAAACCGAAAAGTTGGCATGAACCCTCGCACAAATTCTGAACCTGAAATCATTTCACACATTTAAACCTGTTGCCTGTGGATTATTCATTAAACTCCACTCAAACTGGGAAATGGCTCCGGTGTAAATTGCTATTCAGAATTCCATAGAACTTATGACTGTCACTATTTCTTGTTACTTAAAACAAATATAACCAATGTATATAACAAGGAAATACACTTGATCTTAATTATCCTTTGAATGTCTCTACATTTCTTTAAATATGCTTTTCCTACTTAGGCTCTCTTCTTTCCTCAGTGAACTTATCCTTTGCAGGACTAAAATGTATAACTAACAAAGTAAAATGAATACCTTTGGTACAAGCCAGCCAAGTGAGTTCACAACGGTACACAATTAATCAAACCATTGCTTTATAGTGAAGGCGTGATCTCCACATCATTAAAGTTACCACCTCTGCCTATGTCATATCTAACAATTATTCCACGAGCGCGCGTTGGATATGAGATGATAGATAGCCAACGAGGCGCGTAGCCCCGAGTTGGCTATAATCATCTCATATCCAACAAGCGCGAGTGGAATAATTGTTTTATTAAAAACGTTAAATTAAATTAGTAAATTTTATAAAAGTTTTAACTCCCTTTTAATTTCAAGCTGACAAGTACGCTTACCATATTTGTAGACTATAGTATATTGGCTGATATACCATAATGACTAAGCCAATAAAAAGTCTATCCAATGATCTAGTTTTTAATAATAATTGTCCACAATTAAAATGATACAATTTGCCAGTGGGAGAGATTCCCACGCCAAAGCAATGGATGTGATCAACTGTTAATGTAAAAGAAACTCTTTCAGGTATGACTTGAGTACTTCACGCTGTTAAGGTACCACTACTTGAACAACGTTAGGCTTCACCATTTTAAACTATATAGCTACAGACCTTGGAGTGCAATTAACATGGGGGAAAAAGTGCCCGCAGGCAAGATGGGCAATGTAATCTGAAAAAAAATTATACATACATAATGTTCAGACATAAATTACTTGTCTATGCATGAGTTATATCTTTTAAGAATGACAGTGAAGACGGTCATTAAAGATTTTACAATGGTTAAGCTTTGACTGCAATTTGAATCTGAAGTGGATTGGCATGATTTCAGAGACCAGTGACCATATGAAATTGTAAGCCGAGGTAACAACAAAATTAAATGTTCCAGTTTGGCCATTCAATAATGATGAGGAATTGCTAGAGCAAGCTGAATTGTAATAAACTTACATGTTTTGCAGAATCAGCCTGACAATACACAGCAAGTGACCCTTTAGGGAGCAGGGCAATAAATGTAAACCGCAAGACGTGTCCTGCAAATACACATAGATGCAATTCACAAGAAATGTTGTTCATTCTTACTTAAAAATTATCTTTGGAAAACAAAGCTAGACATCCTACATCAAGGATGACTCGGCCCCAAAGAAACTTTGCTTTTACAGACATTCGAAGTCATGCATTTCTGGAGAAGCTTAGGGAAATAACACAGTAATAACGTGGTTGGTGGCAAAGTGCACGTAAGTTTTGCACCTTCAAGGCAAAGGCACCAAGTTCCACCAATTATTCCAAACTGTCTGTTCAACAATTGTGATTAATTCCAACAGCTGTATCAAGTTTTCCTTTCATATGTTTTGAAAAGTTAACTTGTAAGATGTTTCAATTTCTCCCCAGCTTTGCTTACTGGTGTATTTTCATTGATCATATGTAAATGTAATTTGCACACTACAAATATTAAACTATTATTATCATTGTTATTATTGATAGAAAATAAAAGCCATAAATAACCCTTGCACACGATTGCTCAGACTTTTTTTTGGTCAGTTTTCAGTTTCAGTTCTCTCAATGCCCTCCATGGTGATAATAACAGCAGAACAGTTTTACTCTCTTGGACATAACTATGATTTTTGGCTCTTCTCTGAGCTCAATTTAACCCACGAGTGCCCACTGGCTCAGACTGAAATGAGTCTGAGTCAGGCTCAAAACATATTTCTGCCTGCATACACTTGTAGTTTGATTCTCAAAACTACTTTACAAAAATTTGTAGCAGACAATGCAGAGAACTGATTTCTAGATCCTATGGGTGCCCACTATTGGATGAGAACCTGTGAAAAACCTGTGAAAAACCTATGAATTTTTCTGTGAAAAAACCTGTGAAATACCATTTTTCACGTGTTTTTTCAAAGGTTTTTCACAGGTTTTTCACAGGGTGTAACATTTTGAAAACCTGTGAAAAGGGCACTTTTCACAGGGTCAAAAACCTGTGAAAAAATCTGTGAAATAAAACCTGTGAAAAAACCTGTGACAAAGAATCTTGTTCCGGAGCTTTTTCACATGTTCTTTCACAAGGTCTAAAATCTCAAAACCTGTAAACAAGGCACTTTTCGCATGGTCACAACCTGTGAAATAGCCTGTGAAATAAAACCTGTGAAGAAGAATCTTGTTCAGTAGATTTTTTACAGGGTCTAAAATCTCAAAACCAGTGTGAACATATAGATGGCACTTTTCACAATCCTTTAACTGATTACATTGTGTTTGTTAATTCATTGGCAAAGTTTGACAAGCAATGACCTGTCATTGATAAGTAACATTCCTTCTTTTGACAATTGAGACATGCATGGGTCTCATGATGTTGGTGTTCTGGTTTACTTTTAGGTAAACAACCTTTCTGTCAAAAACTGGCAAGACTGTGACATCTCACGGTAAACATAATGAAGATAGTAACCTGGAGTACTACCAGATATACTCCAGATAAAAGCCATGATACAAAGCCTTAGGAAAGTTTTCTATGGCTTTGTAGGGGACCACAGGAGGTACTAACAGCGCACACATTTCCCAGCCTTTTAATTTCACAAGGACAGCTTGTGAGATGTGCAGAATCTATAAAAGTTTGTGATAAAATTAGATTAAAGTGTTTAAGACAAATTAAAAGCTTTTTCACCTTCCCAAAGACTTATTAATTAGTTTTGAAGATATCTGAAAAAGTTACTTTTTGCACAGTGCAAAAAGTAACTTATATTAGTTAAAGTTGATGAGGTGTGAAATATTTTGTAATGCCAACAACAAAATGTTCAGCTGTCACATTAGCAAGATGAGTACCACATGGACGTATATTTTAAAATAAACTACAGAAATATCATTGATTATAAGTTTGTTTCCAGCTGTTAGTACCAAATGACCTGACTCAGATGACCTGACTCAGATGACCCGACTCCACGATTCTTGTATACATTGTATGCACATGATTACTTTTTTTAACTGCTACAGGTTACAAAAATAGTCACCCTTACCTTACATTTACTGATCGATCCACACATGAGGAGCTTGATAATATATATTCCATCTGTGTCATCTATATATAGCTAGAGTAGCAGACCTTAAATTGTGTATTGGTTACTCATATTTTGGAAGATATCCATGTACTCAACTAAATGTCTTTATATCATCCCATTAATCTTACCTTTGTAAGATCTTGTTCTTCCTTTTAAATTCTCTCTATACCAGTCAAGCTTTGCTTGTCTTTCAACTACTTCACTAGCTAGCTCTCATCGACAGAGTGCACTCAAGCCACTGCAGTGCCACCACATGCACAATATTGGCATCATATTGAATCCTTTGAAGTAAATCTTCATGACTTGTTAATTTACAATAATTTGACCAAAACCTCAAGCATCAGTTAATGTTAAAATTTAATAGTACTGACATCAAAAAAGACCAAGTTGGACACATTTTGCTAAACATCATGATGGATGTTCATGAAATTGGCTTAGTTTACAGAAAATATCGTCTGCAGTTACGTTTGCAATTGCTCTAAAAGCTACCTCTGTATGTACTCCCTCTGTAGCTCTATCAAAACACACCAGTTATAACAAATAGCTCTTTTATATGCTACCTGGTGACATAATGATCAAGCCAGTATATATATTAGAAGGAAACATTCCAAAAATTAAATTACTTTTTTCAAACTTTAGTCAAAATCTAAATTTAAATCTAAATATGTCAATATTTCGCGTAACAGCTACATTTGGTAATTGGCCTGGGCAACATACGGATTTAGTTTTACACCAACATGAAAGTAAAAATGCATTAACACAGATAATTTAAGTTTTTTTTTTCTGCAGCTTCTCGGCAGTTCCAAATTCTATATCTTTAAATCTTAGGAGTTAATTGGCATTTTTAACTTATAAATCAACAGGTTTTTTTGCTTTGCGAATCCGCTGGCTCGTGACCGTTACAGGTTTAAAGATGTCTGCAGGTATAAAGGATTTCACAGGCACAGAAGACTAGGTATGCTGTGAATTATCTTAAGGTTCGCAATATCTAATACAATGATTAGCTAGACAGGAATTTCGCCTTTTACAAGATTAATCACTTTCAAAATGCTCAGATGGATAACAACTAAACTAAAGGCCATGCCAGGTGACGGTTACAGTTTAACACTAATTACAGTTATAAAATTAAATGAAGCCCTTGTAAGAGTCATATAAGCTACCCAAGCGAGTTTCACAGTTTTCATCTCCGTTGTATAATAACTATCACCTCTGTCTATCATTTTTTTTTTACGTCAAAAATATTAATATATGGTCGGTGGACCTTTTCAGGAAAGGGGGAGTTCCAAACTAAATTGTTATATACCCCTCACAGAGGTTTTCCGATTGAAAGAGAACACCTTAACAGAGGTTTTCCGATTGAAAGAGAACACCTTAACAGAGGTTTTCCGATTGAAAGAGAGCTTGTCACGTTGCATGTGTAAAATATCAGACTCTAAAGTAAAAACAACTTAAACTTTTAAAATTGCCATATACAGTGGACCCTCGATTTAACGAAGTTCAAAGGGATAGGGGAAATCGGTTCGTTATATCAAGGGTTCGTTATATCGAAAACCTCGATTCAACGAATTTTCGGACAAACAACCAAAATATACGTTACATCGAGGTATGGTTAATAATTGTTGCTATTGTTTGTGCGTGTGTGTGTGCGTGAACGTGCTCGCGCGTGTGTATGTGTGTGTGTGTGTGTGTATGACTTTGTGCTTAAGGTGGCTCGTACTAGTTTCCTCGCGCGGGGAACAGATAACTCTTGCGTGACGCGCGAGAGAAACGAGCGAAAGAAGCGCGAGATCAAAAGATGAAAATTGAAAACAAAGATGGCGGCGCGTGGATGTTTTTCTACTTTTGTGAGAGAGCAGCCATTGTGAAAGCAGGAGATAGAAACTAAGATAAAGAAGACGATTTTGGGAGAAGTAAAGGTTGCTTTACTTCACATCTAAAAGAAATATTCAACCGATATGAAATCTTGCAACGGCGAAAGAAGAACTCAAGTGAAGGATAATCTACCTGAAGTGGAAGAAGACTTTGAAACTTAAAGGAAAATAATATGATATAGCCAGAAGTCGTGTGTAGGGTTTTTAAAAATGACGGGGTCACCAGGTTAGTTTTCAAATTATTTAAGCCACAAGCTAAAAAATACGTCTGAATAAGCCTATAAAAGCGTTGCCATGGAAACTGCCAGTGACGAAATGACACCTATTTTTGGATAACCAATGATTATATAATTCAATCCCGTAAAAGTGTTCAATTGGCCTTAGTAAGTCTTTCTGTTGTATTCTTTCAAAGTTACAAACCATCAAAAAGATGAGAACTGGCAACTGCCACCTTAATGATTAAAACGGGTCAAAAAAATTTAACAATTGCAACTGGTTTGTCAAATGTCTTACTGAAAAGGTTAATGAATAGCGCAACCGAACAGAAACTTTAAACAAAAAAAAACCACTATAGTTTATTACTAAAATTGCTAATCAAGACGCTTAATCAAAACATTTTTATAATTGCATCATATTTTGTCTTTCTTTAAAATACCCCTTTCATTCAAGAGAAAGAGCGCGGAAATTCTCTTTCTTTTGTGCCTGACTTGTCAAATGTCATAATGTACATGAAAAGTTTGTACAGTATCNTATTGTATGAAACAAGTCCGGTGACCCCTTCTTTTTATTGTTCCAATATGATAATAACGTCGAAAGGAATCATCAGAAATAAAAATAGAAAATTCTACGGAAAGAAATTTGCGATGCGTGAAAATTGCCTCTTTTGTAGATTTTCTGAAATTCCGCTCCGTAAAATTTTTTAAAAATCTTTGTGCATTTTCCTTTTCAAGTGCCAAAAGCAATCACTGAAAAAATCAGGGGGTCACCAGGTTAGTTTTCGAATTATTTAAGCCACAAGCTAAAAAATACGTCTGAATAAGCCTATAAAAGCGTTGCCATGGAAACTGCCAGTGACGAAATGACACCTATTTTTGGATAACCAATGATTATATAATTCAATCCCGTAAAAGTGTTCAATTGGCCTTAGTAAGTCTTTCTGTTGTATTCTTTCAAAGTTACAAACCATCAAAAAGATGAGAACTGGCAACTGCCACCTTAATGATTAAAACGGGTCAAAAAAATTTAACAATTGCAACTGGTTTGTCAAATGTCTTACTGAAAAGGTTAATGAATAGCGCAACCGAACAGAAACTTTAAACAAAAAAAAACCACTATAGTTTATTACTAAAATTGCTAATCAAGACGCTTAATCAAAACATTTTTATAATTGCATCATATTTTGTCTTTCTTTAAAATACCCCTTTCATTCAAGAGAAAGAGCGCGGAAATTCTCTTTCTTTTGTGCCTGACTTGTCAAATGTCATAATGTACATGAAAAGTTTGTACAGTATCAAACAAAAGAACACTACTGTATAGTACAGCACCGTTGGTCTGTTTCGCATTAGTCTTTGGTCAGTTATGTCGGGGTATCTGTATACGTTTGGGCTTCTGGATTGTGTTCGTTATAACGAGGATTTCGTTATATCGAGGTTCTGTGGCATACATTTTATTGTAACTTTAGCCAGGCTGAAATGTACCGAGGGCTTCGTTATAGAGAGGTTCGTTAATTCGAAGTTCCACTGTAACAATGCACTCTTTGTAAGAGTAGTATGAATAATATATAAGAATGAATAAAGTACTGAGAGGTATATACGGTTGTTTGCAGAAAGGTTGTCGGTAAAAATGAGAAAGTACACGCGACAATCTCGACTGATAATCTTGGTATCAGGTAATCAATGAATGTTAGTAAGTGAAACCAATAAATATGGACAAATGAACAGGAGATAAATACTGACTTGCACGTCAAAACGAGAGGAACGAAAAGAAAAAATTACGTTGTAAATCTGTTCTTCTTTTCTTTAGGTCACTGCTATAAAGTCAGTAAGTCCTTTTTTTTATTTTATTTTTCATCAAGTTTAGAATTGAAAGTCAGTTTTGCGAACAAAATAGAGAAATGAAACCAGGCGCGCCTCTTCCTTAGAGTGATGTTTTATCAGATTTCCCTGAAATCCTGAGGTTAAGAAACCGTGACCTAAAAAACTACCCGTAATGCCTTTGGAGGTTGTCGCGTGCACTGTTTTTCAGAAAACCTTTTGCCAATAGCTAAATATATTTTGATATCATCGCTCTGAATACCAACCAACTACCTACCTTAACCCTCTCTAGTTGCCAGAGGCTCGATTCTGTTTGTTGGAATCGAAGGATCATTTACGGCTTTTAGAACAATTAGTAAACATATATATTCTAATTATGATCTGTTCAGCATATCCAGTAGTTCAGCATGGTATCAGTTTGGTTGTTCCGGTTTCTTGCACTTCTTCTGGAATGAAAAAGAAATCAAGTGTTCACAAATACAAAAGAGAAGTTAGTAACAAAATTCTGACTTTTGTGCAGTGATTAATACTTACAGATATCAAGACTTAAAAACAGGCAGAACCCTGCAAGACCTTTAACTTCAAACAAGCACTCAGATTTCAGAAGCTAGTTATCTCTCAGGCAATATGTTAATATCATTATATTCATAGATGCTTCCTCTAGCCGTTGACTTGATGCTTTCTTTATTAAAGAAAAACAGTGCACTGTGCACAGTTAAGTACAGTTTCTTCTTCTCAATCAGATAACATCCCAGAAATAGTTCTGACGTATATAGTTTACTGAGCTTCTCAGTAACAGCTTTCGTGCCATTTTTGAGCCCGTCTACTAAATGATTGGTAAAAACTTTTCAACCAATTCTCCTTTATTCTCCTTCATTTGTTTGAGCAGGTTGAATTATGGCCGGTTGAATTATGGCCAGTCACGCTACATTAAAAGAAAGAAAGAAATCGGTTGCTCACCACTTCATCGGCACATGTGCGTCACCTTCTTCGTAAAAGTGGGTTATTGGCTAAGGCCCTCAGCCATGCATCTCTTACATCTTGCTCCAATTGCCGAGAGTTGTTGTGAGTGGAGTCCAATGACTCCTGGACAAAAGTGGCTCTTTGCAGCCCTCTTTCCGTTTCAATTTCCCCCTCCTGTAAAGAAAACAGCGATTTAATATCACAAATTAACCTCCTTCGAATGATCTAAGCAAATGAAAAGTATCCCACATAATAATTTCAACATATTTAGTGAGTCTCCAGGTCGTTGAGTTTGGAAGCAGGCTGAGGCATTACATTCGAGACATCACCTGTGGCAGTGTAGAACGTGACCCAGTATAGCATGTCGGCTATTGACACCTTGGCCCTTTGTGTTGAGTGAACTCAGCTGTAACAGGTAAGCGTTACAGGCTAATGCCTTCATCAAGACAGCCCTGAATCTTCCATTTACGGAATGTTTATCATCTGGAATTTTATGATAAATTACAGCCCTGCAGTTCTCGTTAAACAATTTTTCATGTAGTTCATCTAAATTTTGGAATTCTTTGTTTCATCCCCCTACTTTCACACCTCTGCACCGATTTGGACCTAAAAAGTTGGAGATGTGGAGAGAATTACAAAGAGCAGCGCTGCAAGATACAGCCATTTTGTCTACAATAGCAAGTAAAACATAACGCAGGTGAAAACATTTTGGACACTAAATTTGTCACCAAAGTTACAAATTTGGCAACCTCTTGTTGGAGGTCATACATATAGCAAGCAATACTTTCTTTATCACTTTATCATTCATTGATTAGAGTGCAGCGTATGTGGTATGCAGTGAATTTTCATAAAATTCAAAGAAGAGTAAAGCCATTTGGAATAGTCATGATGTAAAATGTACAAGTCTTCATTTACCTCTTCATGATCTTCTCCTCTATTAGCACCAGATGTTAAGCCAGAGCTTATAGAATTACCAGCTCTGTCTCCTTCACTGAAGGTTCCAGAGGTCAAATAATTTCCAATTGTGTTTGATGTACTGTTTGAATTCTCATGTCTAGATGTATTCACACTGTCCCTTACTGAAGAGACTGGTGACAAATGAGTCTTCCTTCTAGATTCCAACCATGGTAGGAGTCTGTGGTCAGATCCAATAGCCCTTGCCAGTAATGACGAAGCTGGAAAATCTCTTGAACCATTTGGTTGATTACCATAGATTTGAGAATTACCTGATGAACTTGCCAAAAATCCTAAGTTTGTGGTTGACGGCATTTGCATTTGCAAAGGCTCAGGAGGTAAAACTGTTGTTGTTCTAGTGAAGCCAATATTACTCTGTGTAACAATTACAGAGTGTGTCACTTGAGGTCCTGTGGTTCCCAGAAAATCAGAGGTCAATCCTGAACAAGTGAACCCTGACTGTAGAAAATCACTCCTTTGCAAGGATGTAAAATGCCCATCTTGGAGTAGTGGAGGCTCTCTTGTGTCAAGTGGAAAGTCTCCACCTAAGAAGTTAGGATTGAATGAGTTGGAATACCAGTTTTGGCTTGTATTAGCTTCAATACAGCTGTATGAGGGTCCAGGTGGAAGTAAATAATTGCCATTGAAATAGTCACTTAAAGGGCAGTCATCCTCACCATTCACTCTGGAATATACCTCATTAGTCAGAGGAAATATGGAAGAATATGGTTGGGAAAATGGATCTGACCTTGTAGCAACCTGGCAGTCACCAAGGTATGGTTTTGCTTTGTTGGAGTCAATCATGTTCATCATGCTAACCATATCCTTAGCCAACATCTCCTTTGCATTGTTGTAATACAGACTTTCATGAAGATGTTTGTCTTCGGAGTGTCTTGCCAAGAATGTGTTAACCACTCCCTGGACCACAGGTCCTCCAACTTGTTGAGGAACCTGGTCAACCAATGAGGAGAAAAGTAAAGAAGAATCTGAAATACTGTCCTTTTTGGGGGTTCTGTCTCTTTTTCTAACCCCTAAATGTTCCCATTCATGGGACTGATTGCTCAGATAAGAATCAGCCTGATCTGTGGCTACGTTTTTTTGAGTAGTGATTCTTTCACATGAAACATTTTGCTTCTGAGTTGTGTTTTTTGGTCTAGCCTCTACATGTTCCCATGTATTCAACTGACTGCTTGCACAAGAATCAGACAGAACATGGACCGCACCTTTTTGAGCAGAGATTGTTGCCTGTGATACATTTTGCTTCAGAGGCATGCTTTCAGGTGAGAGAGAATCTTGACTCACACCAGATACATTTTTCAGCTTAAAACTATCTTGGGCTCTACCTGAAGTACAACCAAGACCATCACTATCACCAACAATATTAACGTGCTGAATCAAATAGAATCCATTTACAGCACCATTACAGATGCTACTGGAGCTATTCAAGTCTTCTTTTCCTCCTTCCACCTTAACAGCACTCCATCCTTTCACTTCTCTACTTTCAAAACTTTCTTCTGTCAGTGATAAAGACACAGACCTTTCTTGCTTCTCGTCTCGACCACTTGTGGTATCAAATAAACTTTCAGCAGAATTTTCCCTTGCCTTCAAAGCATTATGATCAGAATTTAAGCTGATTGTTGGTGCACCACAGCATGAATCCTCAGTCAAAGATTCCACATACACAGCAGAGGTGGATGTAGACTGTGAACAGCTTGAAGCCAAACCACACCTTCCACTTGATGAATCAGCATAATTAATATCTACCAAAGAACTCGCACTATTTGAATTACCTTGATTAGGAGAGGAATTTGTGCTGCCATCACTGTCACAAACGTTTCCACCAGAAGGGTTGCCAACATGGAACTCTTCATCAATACCAGCACTCTTAGAAATTTCTCCACTTTCTCCCACTTCATTTGAAGTTCTTCTATCTACAACACAAGTTCTTTCAGATGTTTCATACCCCTGATTTCTTTCTTGAGGTGAATGGCACTCTCTTCTAAATAATTCCTCACTGTTGTGAAAAGGAGCAACAAAATTCTCGGCCAGGTCAGAACGATGGATTTTTTCCAAAAGATATTTAACATAATAACATGATAACTCTCCTTTATATTCCAATTCTTTAAATAATTCAGAACCTTTCCTAATCCTGGCTGGTCTGTCGAGATCCACTCTTGATGTAACAAGATTCTTTAATCTCTCAATCTCTGATTTTGATAGCAGGTCTGATATCTCTTGAATTATATATTGCAGAAGATGACCTACAGAAAGAATGATATGGTAAACATAACAAGCAATGGTAAACCTGGGATTGGGAAGGCCGTGTGCCAAGAAAAGAGGTGTTTACACTACACTAAAAAAAAAGCCAAGTTTGTTCTTCATTCATTCATGGTCTCATTTCTATTACCCAGGGCTCCATTGTCAAGCCTGCATTAGATGTCAACATACCTTCTTTTCCTTACTTTCCCCGTACATCAAATTCTTGTATGTTATACAAAAGTGGTGGGTATACTACATGCATCAAAACTATTTCAATCACTAATCAGTTCTGGCAAATAAACAAAAGGAAAAACCTGTTGTGTATGAAATTCAAAGAATAGCAGTTTTTAAAAACATATAAGGTAGTTCGGCTTTTGTAACACTCTATTATCAACAAAGTAGGTTAACCTTATTTCTGAGCGTCAAGTACTAATTTCTGAAGTAATTTTCACTCATTACACACGATGTCAAGTCTCTATTTGAGAAGCTTGTGTGTGACTGCATCACAGCACTGCTGTACAAGTAGCCTGGTAGATATATTCTTTAAGTATTAGTTTTGGCATACAAAAGGAATTTTTCTCCTGTGACAGCTACCTTTTATAAAAATAAAATGGCTTGTTCAAATGAAATTGCACATTGTGTCACATGACTTGAGCTGCAAATGAATGTCTTGTAGTTTACCACAAATTACTCTGTCACACAAAGAAGACAATTAACAAAATTATGTTATGTAAATTGGAGATTATATTTTAATCACTTAAAATTATCTTAACTCATACTAACAACACAAAAACCATCCAGATAACTTAAGTAAAAAATTCAATACAAATTTCTAAAATTACTAGGCTCATCACATTGTAATAGACCTCACACTATCCAAGAATGATGGCAGTTGTTTGTTGTGACCTGTGCATAGTTTCCTCTACAAATTTCTCAGTAACCATCAACTTCATCCACTATACACCTCACACATTATAGCAAGAAAGATATAACTTAGTGTTGAATTGAAAGATACATTTCAGAGAAAGAGCTTGAAATAGACTTGGACCTTACCTTTCCAGTGAGCAAAGAAATTATGATTGAAATAAAAATCACTGTGAACAGTGTTGCTACTTTTGTCTTTACTGTCAGCTTACAAAGACTGCCTAGTGTTGTTTTGTGATTTCTAAAGCTGATCCCTCCTGCTGATTGAAATAAAAAAACATTGCAAACAGCATTGCTACCTTTCTATTTACTGTCAGCTTACAAAGACTGCCTAGTGTTGTTTAGTGGTTTTTAACGCTGATCTCTCCATTAAAGGTAGCTCTAGTGGATTCCCCATATGTATACTCCCCATCATCTGCAATGGAGGCAATAGCCAAGGATAACACACATGAACAAAAGTCTAAACATAGTCTTATTCAGAAAAACTGTTGAAGAACTTAGAGAGCAAAAACACACTGCAGATTCTACTTTCAGAAAAAAATATTATTTTGTTTGAAAAAAATCATCCATGGCTGGCAAAGATAGAGAACAATAGAACCTCTCAACCAGTTCCAATGAATGAACTTGAGAAGAATTGGAAAATTTTTTCAAGATTTTTTTGTGTGTGACCAAGAGAAAAAAATAGAAAATCATGAAAAACTGGCATTTGTTCTTTTTAAAATTCAACCAAAGATCAAAAATTTTTTCAAGTTTTTTACTCTGGTCTCCAATGACTTTCTTTCATCCAAAATTCAGTTGTCAAATATATTCTAAACTTACCACAGATAAAAGCATTGCCTTGAGGAGCAAAAAAAAAACAACCAGTACCCTTGTTAGAGGATATAACTTAACACACTATCCATGTGGCCCTTGGGCCAATGTACCATGATCCAAATTTTTATATGCTATTATTAAAAACTGGATCATTGGATAATGCAATTCAGGACTTTTTATTGGCTTAGCCATTATGGTAGACGAGCCAATATACCATAATCTACAAATATGGAAAGCATATGCGTCAGCTTAAAATTAAAGGGGAGCTAAAAGATTTAGTAAAATTTAATAATTTAATTTAACGTTTTTAATAAAACACTTATTCCACTCGCGCTTGTTGGATATGAGATGATTATAGTCAACTCGGCACTACGCACCTCATTGGCTATCTATCACCTCATATCCAATGCACACTCGTGGAATAATTGTTAAATATGCACTCAAACATTGGGTGCAATTCAAACTGCTAAATTGCATGACCAAAAAGAAAGAGCAGACCTCATTAAACACTGTGATTGCTTGTAACATTTCCTTGTGTAAATGTATTGATTAACACCAAAGTTAAACATGAATGGAAAATGCCGGTATTTTGGGTCTTTTTTTACATTATAAATTTTGATTGATGATTAAAATGCCCAATAACTGTTTAAAGTGCCCCTGAGACGAAAACTAACCATTTTATTTTGGCCTAAATTGTTTACACAATGTTGAATTGGGTCAGGTTAAGACCATTTTTGCCATTAAAAACTCAAAACAAACCTTCGATGACCAATTTTTACCACTTCAAAGTCATCCAAAAATCGTCCGCCATTGCTGAAAACAAGTTCCAGCCGAGCCGGCTAAAACGTCATCATGACGTCAAAGGCTCAACAAACTTATGCTTTGCTTTGACTTATGCTTTGCTTTGTCACAACCCTCTTTGTTTGCTGCACGGAGAATCACTGTTTTGTTGTCAGTCGGGAAATGTCGACTTTTTCAGACGATGAATTGTCCCAGAAATCATCTGAAGCTTCTGTGGATAGTTTTGTAACGACAAACAATGAGTTTTTTCCCTGCGAGTAAAGATAAACAAAGAACGGCACGGATTCCCCACGTGGCTTTTGTGGTCGCATCGCTTTATTGCTTTCAAACTGTATTTTTGCTTGTCGTAAGGAATTTTCCCTTTTTGTAAGAAATGATCGGGTGATTAGTAAAAATAGTTTTCGGCAATGGCTAATTGTGTATCCGAAGGCGGATATTGGGAGTTTGTGAAAGCCATTTCTAAGCCATCAATGTGTTTTCCCCGATGCATTTGGTCAATGATCTCATTAACCCTTTCCTACGTGTTTTTTACTATAGATGCTTTGAGAGGTTTGAAGTGAACTCTGTTGTTGAGTTGCACTTTGGCCTCTTTTATTTTTTCTGTCTTATTCATGATGTATTGTTGTGTTGCTTCGGTGAGGTTTAAAGCAGAGTTTGTTTCAACTCTTTTAGGAGACTGAACCGGTGGCACTCAGTTTGATATGAAACAGAAGTGGTTCTTTGTTTTGTCCGTGAAAGGTGTAATGAAGGTGCATTCGTCTTGCGAATAAATCTCGCAAAAGTTGGCCTGATTTTAAATTCGTTTGTCACAGGTGTTGGGATGAATTTGAGACCCTTTGATAGCACGCTGACTTGGCTGTCAGATGGTTGATAGTTTGACAGGTTTTTAAAGAAATTTTGGTTTGTCTGTTTTTTGGCTGCAAGCCTACATTTTAAAGTGTTTTTACGCTGTGTCTGAAGCTGTTTGTTCTGCTTTCACTGATATTAAAGCCAGCTTATTTTAGAATCAAAGCACACAATTATATTTTTCATCTCTTTTGTATAAAAGTGAGCTCCTTGAGGTTAGAAATCTCAATCCTCTATTCGGCTATTTTATCATTCCTATTTACAATGTTCACCGAGTACTTTCCTTTGTATAAGGGTTTATGCCAGAGATATGTTAAAGGTGGATATTGATCAGCTCATATGTAAAGGTGACAAAATCCGTGGAGGTTCATAGACTTTGCTTTCCGGCGTTGAGATCTCACTGAACCTGACAGAATTCTTCGCCTAGGTCCTTCAAAGTACACAGATCTCTCGAAACAGTCCTCCGAGAAGTTTTCGGAGTAGATCACAAATATTTCTGAAGGATTGAAGTTTACTAGGCAAGGTCGCACAAATCGCATCCATTTTTCCGGCTCTGATCTATTTGCAAGGCTCCGATGCAGAGAAATACCTGCAGCATGGTCTGCACGATTACTTCAGCTTTGAGTACGCATGGATGCTCAGTCATTTTTGTTTAGTTTTTGTAAGAATAGAGTAAAGCAATCTGTTATGTTTGCTTGAAATTTTGCATTTTTCGCATTGAGCCTTTGACGTCACTTCCTCTGAGTCCTGCGATCAACTTCCGGAACATGATCAAATAATGGCAGATGCGAAATCGTGAATTTAACGGCCTGAAAAAAGATATATCTGATGCTCGGTCTAAACTGAAATTTGGCAGAGTAGGTGAAGGAGACACACTGAACACGAAAATGGAAAATAATGATCTCAGGGGCACTTTAAAGATTTTACCACTTTAATGTATTTCTTTGGCAACACCTCACTCTTCCCAGTAATTTCAGCCAGCTGTACACGTACATATACATGCCCTGCCCATAACTCACATCACTGCATACCATTTTGCTGAGACTTGATTTCACAAGTATAAACTAAATACTGATATAATAAGGGCTACAATCATTATTTTGAGATGAAGTTCTTAATTTGTGCTTTTGTGAAAGGTTACCTGAATCTTTTTCACAGTGATATGAACCTTTAACGTGTGCTTCTCAATAATGGTTGTTCAAAATTTCTTTGGGTAATTGTTATGAACGTCATCAGATGTTTGCATAAAACTGAAGAACAGTTCCCAGAAGATGTTGTTGGCCAACAGTCAGGCAACTGTTGGCTGTCTGTCAGTCTACAGTTGGCTGATAGACAACCAACAGTCGGCTGACTGTCGACTAACTGTCAATCAACAGTTTTCGATATGTTTCAGGTCAAAGTTTTGGCCAACTTTTGGCCAACAATTGATGACCTGTCAGTACAGCCCTCCAAGCTGCGACCATAATATTTGGTGACTAAAATTCTGGTGAAAGTCACCAATTGCCGACCAACAGATTAAAAGAGAAACTTACTTGGTGACCTCTGCGGCTCAAAATGGCAAATTTGACCAATTTCAAGGGGCAATTGGCAATGTTACACGGTCTCAGCAGCTTTGTAATGTTGAAATACATCGCTTTTGCTACTAGACAGTCTCTTCCTTTTCTTTCTCTTACAAAGTTAAATGTTGAAAGTTAAATGTTGCAAAGTTAAATGTTGAAAACGCGCCGTTCTGTGCAGTAGCCATTCGTGTAATATATCATTAAGTGTCCTCCCCTTCTGGTTTTTTTTTTTTTGGGAGGGGGGGAAGGAGGGAGGCGACTGCATATTTTTTA